GAGGACCTTTGTGGACGGCGATTGAGAGAAAAACGAATCAAACGCAAGAAGTACTGAGATCCACGCAGTAGATATGATTACGGGTCAAGCAATAATAATTATTATCATTATTGTTATTATTTTTTAAAATTAAGGAATGTAACATTATTTTATACATTATTGCATCCATGGCATATACGAGATCCTTACCGAAACAACCTTGTTGTGGCCAACGTTTCGGCGCCTTTTTCTGATAATAATAATAATAATTTTACCACCAGACATTCTTATTAGTCGTTCACAGATTTATTACTCATAATTAAAAGTTTCGCAAGTAATCGAATCACCCGTTTCGTCTGCAAACCCATTATTCATTGGGTGAATTTTATGGCCACCGACAATTTTTCATTCTCCCTTTCTCACTCTCAGAGCTCAATAGACTCGAATTGCTAGAGAAACGCGAGAATTGTAACACATTTCATACGAGGGCTTTTTTTCTACTGTTTTTTGGCAATCGGATATCCACAGATAGTTAGTCAAACTATGCCACGAAGGCCGTTTGCTCTCACTTACAATTTTTCGTGCTATCTCAAAGAATAGCCTTAAAGTTTTCTTGTTGAAAATAACCACGAATCTCCTTCTAAACACTTAGTCCAGTAACCTGACTTGGAGGCGTAAAAAAGAGGTTTTAAGCAAACATGCACTGTTGTGATCTTAGAAATACAGATCCCAGCCCCTACCAAGCTAAACCCTTCTTTTGCCTCCGTCGAATTGCGGCCATGGTTATCTGAAGATGTCAGCAACACAGAGTTCATATATAGGGGTGCTCCCATAAACCATCGTAAGTCTAAATATGCACTGAACTACCTCTATGGTACTCAGTAGGGTCCAATGAGTGGCATTTCCATAAAGAATAAATCGAAATCTTGCTCTTTACCTTTTTACCTACTGCCTATTCTTTTTAACGGCAGAGTATGTTGTGAAATATAACTACTATAATGCTGAGATACGATTATAGCTATAGCCTCAGCTTAACTGAGTTCAATACCAATTTGGACTCTCCAGATCAATCCCGTTGGCGGGTGATTGCTGATAGCAAAAAGATCGATAGAACTAGCTGAGAGACAGGCGAAACGAAGGACCCGCGTGGTGTGGTGGTGAACGTGTTACTCCTCGGAAGGGACAAGAGTGCGTTCGTTCCCCATGGCTGACACCTACGGTCTGGTGTTTTGCAAATATTTCAGCATTATAGTAGTTATATTTCGAAATCTTACTCTCCACATTCTACTTACACAGAATCTACTCACCTCGTAGAATGAATCTAAAACAATCAACAAAAGTTGGACAGGTTTCCGAATTCTGCCTTATTACGTGTTTAACTCACTATCAGCCATCTCGGAACTTTTCAAGTAACCTAACAAATACTATGCAGCTCCAGATCCGCCATGCAGAGATGTTTAATGGAAGCAGATGTAAGGCGAATAGATGTAAGGAAGAAAAGAAAAAAGAGCGAATAATTGGTCAAGAAAGAAAAGTATGTTCTCGAACAAATATCAGCAATTCAAAACACTAACTTAGTTTACCTATAAAGCCTTACTTATAAAGTACTTATAAGGCAGTAACGGTGGAATGTTTAACGTTGACAACGATATTGCTGGAGACAAAACAGATTTCATGCGACGAACCCACACCATTGAAGCGTATCAATAATTAACAGAAATCTATTACCGGAGTGGTTGGCAGAAGTACTGTGTAACTTCGTCATCTCATCACTTGTCGTTATATCCACAGAATTCTAGAAAAACCTTTCCTGTTGTCGTTCTATTACACAACATTCGCTTTTCGCTCTTACCCTTTCAGCTCTTCACATTCACTGCTCGGTTTTTATTCCTTATAAAAATTCACTAGGCAATCACATGTTCGAGCTGTTCTCCAGAATACCACTATACATTCAAGACCAGACGCTCCTCATGTTCCAAACTAAGACGAGACAAATGCAGTTTGACAACTACATTAACAACACAATATACAATTTTTGAACCAATTTTATTCTAAAACCTTTATTGACTCTTTAGGACTTTTTTCAGCAAACTCCTAAGTAAACCGACTCCCTTTTCTTCTTACAGTGCTTCGCAATTTCTGTTATGAACAATCTGTTTCCATTGTTTGATCTGTTCATTTCATTGCTCTGCCACTTTTTCCCCCTTTCTTTCTCTCCTCTTTTGTTTTCTTAATCTTTACTTTTAAGCAATAAATTCGTCTATCATACTTTATTTACTTTTTTCCACTTTTCAGTTTCCAAGCAGACACGAAATAATGAGAGATGAGTCGCCGGTCTACCCTCAAGTTAAAAGCTCACTCAATCAGCCAGTACATTCCCACTTTACTTAAAGCACAACAGTTGTGTTTTTTCATAGATTAACAGCCATTAGCCGCCTTGTAATGTTGTCTTATTTTACTGAAACACCTCTTAAAGACTGCAATATAGTTCTTTTCTCTTTTAAAATGGTACTAAAGTAAGAGATGGAGCTTATTCGCCTGAATCGCTTATTTTAGTCCTTTATTCGCAACTGGCACAGTAGTGAGTGAACAAAAACTCAATTGAATTTTTAACTAGGATGCTATTGACTTGAGTTAATAAAGGGATTTACTTTTTTGAGACAGTTGAGCTTATGTGCGACTACTAGTCCTACCAACGCGGTTACTGATTTGCCCTTGAGTCGGTCAACCACCTACCTTTCACCACTTGCTTATTCATAAAAATTCCTTTACAAAACAAATTTATGTAGATCTTCTACGAAAGTTCTTTCTTCAACTGTAGATCTAGTATAAAAGCTCAGATCAAATCAGATCTGGTGTAGCATCCTATAATTCTTTCTTTATCAACACACTTTTACTTCTTCAGACTCTCCCTTCCTATTTCATGTACTTTTTTCATTCCTCATTTTTCGTTCTACAGTATTCCATAGTTTTAATGTCTGATAAGTGTTCACATCCGTTGTTCTCACTGTGCACGTCTTCCGCTCTTCTATTCATTCCATACTGTACTATACCGTACTTCACCATGACCTCGACCAGTTACCGTAATCGCGAGACAATTCATTCTTGACTGCAAAATGTATAGACGATATTACACAAACTTTAGTCTAAAAGGCAAAATCCGGCACCTTGTTTGAATGTTTTTACATGATTTTCACGTAGTGCTCACATAAAATCAGTCCGAAACAGCGAGTTTTTCAGTCAATACTGATGATGGGATGAGGTGTCTGCTAGCAATACTCGACGTTTATAGGTATATCTAAACCAGTACATATTTCAGAAAGTTGTTGATACATCCAGGATCGCATCATATGCGGCCACTTATGTGAAGTCTCCTAATACAGGGCCTTTCTTTATTTCGAAAAAATTCTGGATTTGTGAATGGATGAAGGCCAACGGCACTTGTATTCTTATCGCTGATGCAATTAAAAGTGAGGGACTAAATGATGTAACAACGTAAGTCTTATTAACATTTTTAAATGTTTATTTTTTATTAATGGTGTTTTTCACCAAGCATTCCATCTTTTCTAACTATAACAAATTTTGAAATTATTAATGTTTTAAAAGTGTTTGGCTGAGCAGACTGCATGTTGACCTTCCCAGGCCCTGAAGAACGCGAAACCGCCGAAACGTACGCTATTGTGATGTTATTTGTTTCGAAATATTTATTTGAATGAATGGTAATTCCAACTTGGCTTTATTGGTGCATAGATTTGAATCCTAAATCGGAGCAATGAAACTTGATATGCATGCCGATGGTGTTAGCCGCTTTGTAAAATTTATGAGCATTTGTGTGAAAAAGTTGAGCTCGTTACCGCCATTTATCAGCCTAAGTTCACATCTGCACTTCAGAATAGATAGAGGATAGCACGCCCAACGTTGATTTTTCATTCTCAGGGATGAACCGTGCTCATATTTGATCAGTGCTGTGACTTACGGGAGCCAGCTGTTATTCAAATTTAATGTTTCACCTTCCCAAATGTGTTCGGTACCAATTCGTCGACCTTCAAAGGTTTATGGGGCTTTTACAGTTTTGAATCAACAAACTTGCACTTTGACGAGCATGCATGTCCACTACGCTACACTACTTCAGTAACAAACTTGTTTTGTCCCTGCAAATTTTCGATCTCATCGCTCGAGTTTCATTAACATCCAACGAAATCGCTTAAAACCCCATGCAGTAAGAAAAGTTGCGAGCAAAATTGAAAATTTATTTGTATTCTAATAAATAAAAAAAGTTTTTTAATGCAAAAACATTTTTTTTGATGGGAAAATTTTAGTATGATTTTCATGTAACATCAAGGACCAAACCATGGTTTTTTTTACTTTTTATAAACCCGTGATAGCTTTATTACATGCTGAGTGATCATTCAAAAAAAACGTTAAATTGGCCAGCATTCAATATTGATTTTAAAAGTATTAATCTTAAGCAGAAAGCTGCTGAGAGGGATAGCGTAACAGCTTGCAATTAGCTACTAAAAGTAAATATCGTTTGGAGGCAATTGAATGTGTATCCGCCCTTTACAATGGCTCGCGGTGGCCTACCGGTGTATCGAACCAGTGCTGCTATCCTCCCAGACAAGTCTGGTACCAATTTGCCGACCCCAGAGTGATGGAAGGCTTGGTGGGCCATACGCATGGGGATCGATTCCATGCGTGTTGCAGAGTGCCTCCAACCACTGCGCAATTGGCTATTAGCATAATGAATAGAGCCGACTAGTACTTTGATGACTTTCAGTTAATCGGAGTTTAAATTTCTGTTGAACTGCAAGTTCGTGAATTGTGAACAAAAAACCTGACACATGTTAAAGTGATGAGTAGAATTAGATGAGTAGTGAGTAACGTGGTCTATTCATTTTTCTTTGCATTTTTTTTCTGGGAGATATTTTCCTAGGAGAAAGCATTCCTTTCAATAGTATTATCCATTATGATTGCTAGGAATATTGATTAGTTTGTTACTAGGGAGGCGATCTTGATGTTTTATGAGTGTGTTTTGTCAGCCACGATATTATCAATCAATTGGTAGGAGTTGCTCTGTTGTTGACGATATCGAAGGGAAGGATTGCTTAATCCAATATGTTTCTAAGAGAATTTGATACTAAATATAAATGAGAGCCTTCAAGTGGATCTCAAAACTTCAGCCGAATTCACATTCTTATTCTGGTCTAAACTATTCTTCACGCAGTGCGGCATTGATAGCGAAGCCGTTCAAGAGGCGCTTAGGAATTATGTCGATCCCAGTCGATCCAACTAATCCTCCTCACTTCGTGTTTAGGAAATTGGTGCTGTATCTGGGAAGCTTTCTCTGATTGACACGAAAGTGTATGTGATGAAAACCTCGGAACGACCTAGAATGAATTTTCCACAGTTCCAGCGAGCAGTGATTCCACAAGCATCCAGCGAGCTTCAGAAACCAAAAATCCTCAAACAGCGGTCGATTCCGAGCCAAAAAAAAGTTCGAAGAGTTTTCGGATGATGGATACTTGGAAACGAATCCTATGAAAGAAGCGGTTTTGTTCGCACAATGTGCGATATCGGGTTGTATAAAATGAAAAAACCGTCCAACTTCATAAAACTACAGATCTCAGTTACTTGAGATGTTACGTATCCTTACGAAATGAAAACTTTAACGACACAAGTGGTTTAATGAAAAATGAGGAATTTTAGGAAACTTGATCTTCATCAACGAACTTTCTGCTGCAGAGGTCACTTGCTATCTTATTAATCATGAAATAAATGCAACGAACGCCTACAAATTTCCTATCCATTTCTACTGTGTGCCAAAAACGGCGAATTTGCAGTGCTCATGCTTTTTGCTCTGTGCTGTTTAATCCTATTTTTCTTGGACAAAACGAGCACTTCTAGCGCAGTGGTTAAAAGCAGCATGCAAAAAACACATAGGGCGTGAGTCTGACACAGCATCCTAGGCAAATTCCACGAGTAGAATCCAATGTGTGAGGCATACATCAAAGATTAACCAACGCTAAGCGCCGTTGCCTTTTATTCTTACTGATGTTCGCGAAAACGTAACTACTTAGCTCCTAACTTGCTGTGTCCTCCACAAGAGGGCAGACGTGAGTGGATACACAAAGCAGCGTAAGTTTTGTTCGTAGTGTACCGTGATGCCTTTCCCAGATTTTTTGAAAACGTTATGTGCAAACCCGTGATATTATTGTGACTAAACTCTCTATGCTGGTTAAAGCTGTGCTTTTAGCCAAGGTGTACATCATTAATATTCAAACGCGGTGAATGTGTTGTACCACACAATTAGAGAAAAAATAGTGTAGAAAGTGCTGCGTAACCATTGATTCGAAGTCTACAGTATAAAAGAATTTTTATTAAATTGCGACCAGTCCTTCTTAGTTTTACTATTCCATCCGGAACATCAGTTATCTACTGCTCCTTCTGCGACAACTGGCAACGAGAAGCTTTAAAAACCATAAACATCGTGAATCTCAGCCAGCATTAGCTTCATTGCACGACATATTACTGCTTCTGAACTCCTTATTATCAGATCACTTCTTAAAAACGTGGTAATTATAGATTATTTCAGAAAAATTGGTGTGAAGTCGGCATTCACATTGGTCTACAGCCTCCTCTTCATATTTGGCTTGGTCGGTAATGGCGGTGTGGTGCTCGCAATGGCGAAAAATCGACGTCTACGTTCGGCACGGAATATCTTCTTACTTAATCTTATTCTCACTGATCTGCTACTGGTACTAACTGCAGTGCCAGTAACACCATGGTACGTTCATATGCTTGCAACAATTAGTTTTCACAAAACAATGGAAGAAAACTCTAATAAAATGAAGGAAGAGAGTTAAAGGATAACGGATAAAGCTCTCGGTGTTGATATCAATCCCTGAGGGATGCGCCATGCATTCGACTTCATTAAGTATCGTTGGAGATGATTTGAATGCATATCTGGCCTTTGCAATGGATCGCGGTGGACTACCGATGAGTCGAGTCAGTGCTGCTATCCTCCTAGATAAGTCTGGTACCAATTTACCGACCCCGAAGGGATGGAAGGCTTGGTGGGCCATGGGCGCAGGGATCGATTCCACGTGTGTTTCGCGGTGGCGCCTCCAGCCACTGGGCCACATGCACTCTCGGGGGAACGGTTAGTACTCGGCAAACCTACAGTACGGTGAATTTTAAATCTTTCCGTACTTTTAAGGTTTGATTAGACAATATATTATACGTACATTGAAACTTAACTTATCCTCTGGTGGACCGTTTCGTTTATTGAAAAGACCAGAAATGTAAGGAAAATTCAAGAGCTAGGTTACCAACACCGTGCTGAAGACTAAATTAAATACGAAATGCGAAATATAGAATCGAATATGTAAAATTGTCAACAATTTTTGTCATTAAGTTCATACTTTTGAGTTCAGGTATGCCCTCACGAAAACCTGGGAATTTGGGCCAGCTATGTGCCGAATTATGCCGTTATCGAATTCATGCTCGGTATTCGTGACCAGGTAGGTTTTCAACGAACTTTTCACCTTTATCGTAAGTCAGCTGATCTGTTTCGGTGTAGTAGGGCTAACTATCATGTACCACCAAGGGATGCAAGTGAATTACCTTCAACTGCTAAACAGCTTTAATACCATGCTCTTTCTGAACTGTTTTTACCAAAAAGTAGTTAATGGCGTCTCGCTGAGCTTTGCTCTTAGTTGGGCTTCCGGATGAAAACGTCCGACTCTTTATCAGGCTTGGTAACTTTCTTAGTCAGATAAACCTTTGCTGCTTATGGCAATTCAAAGTTCAAGAATACAGTACTGGCTGAGATAGTAGGTGGTTAGATTTTGATGTTGTTTATGAAACTATTCAATCATTATAGAAATTTATACATATTAATGTATTGATGTATACTGGCGTAATTGGATTTAATTAATAGTTAAAAATGTTGGTGTAAAATTAAAAGCCGTTGGTGCCTATGATTTCAAATATTCAAGACCATCCCAACGGTTTATCGTCTCATCGTGGCTGGAAGGTATGCATAGGTGCCGATCTGCAATGTGCAATGGGGGGATTCCTTTTCCGGCACAGTCTCCTAAGCAGAGAAGGAGCCCGGCGTCTCCATCAAAAATTTTAGATAAGGGTAGACCAATACCAGGAGCCACCACTTCCTGGTATGAATTTAGTCTCATGGTGGCAAATCTCCCTCTGGTCCACAAAAGGCGCGACTGTGTGTGGTTGTGACAACTTGGAGCAGAGTTTCGCCAGGCCGACCTCGGTACTCCAAGAAGTCACAGTGGCTAGACCAGCGAAGCTCTGAAAAAGCGGAAATTATGCTGTGGTCTATACAACCAGTGAAGACGGACAATCCAACTATCCAAGTGGGTAAGCCTCCAGGGCGAAGAAAAGCTTAAAAGAGCACTTACAGAACCTCTTAGATATGCTCGAGAAATCAACATAATAGTTTTTCTGTAAAGTCGAATAACATGCACCTTTTGCTATCTGTGGATTAATTCTTATATTCTTATATTCTTATTCTTATATTTATTCTACTTATGCTATCTGTGGATTAATTCTAGTTGGAGTCTTACGGCAATTTCCATCGACAAGTATCTCCATATCATCGATCCTACCTTGGCCCCAGTTACAGTAGGTTTTCTCTTCTTCAAACAGATAATTTTGCCAGGCTTTTAAATAGTTGCTCGTAAATCACTTTTTCCCCACTTTTACAAAGCTGTTCTTTCTTATTCCTAGAAGCGGCAATCGTTGGCGATTACTTTATTGATTTGGCTTATTAGTACACTCATAAATGTACCGTATCTGCTCAGCTATGAACTTGTCGATGGATCCTATTATGTGCCTAAAAACAGGTTTATTTTCAATACTGCTTTTTATTATTTAATTTATACGGAATTCGATTGTCTGAATAAAACGTTGTACAACACTGCGAGCACATTTTTCACAGTTAGGAATATCTATTGATTAGTCAGTTTAAAATAAAGTTGCCTTTATTTCTCCCTATTCCTCAATAATCTGTTTGCTTCTGGAAGTCCGGCGCCTAAAACATGCATTGTCATATGGTGCATAACTTCTCGACTTCATTTTCGGTCTGAACTAATTAGAGAAATTCATTACTGAAAGACTCGCCCTCTAAAGAACGCTTAGCACCGGAAGGAGAAGAATTTCTTGTTTAAGAGAGTTCAATCTATGCTTGTTTACATGACCCCATATATTATATTATGCGAATCTCAATACCTCGTCCATTAGATCCGTTTCTCTGCATACACCATTCACAAAGCTCTTCGAACTTTTATGTGACGGTTCGGTTTTAGTGCTTGAGGAACTTTGGTGTACTTCATGTGTTTCGTTGACTGCTGGTTAAATCGGTCCTATCGAGAACCCTGGTGTAACCGTGTTAGGACGTCTTATGCTAAATTAGAGAACCGTATCTTAATGCAGAGATGAATGTTGTCGTGGATGGGGTAACTACGCTCGTATTTCGGATTTTTTCTTTGGAGCCAATCGATTAGCTTTTAGTGTTGGACGGAGCGGACATCTACGGCAGCAGTGGACTTGCTTACAAGAAGCTTATACTGGTTATAAAAACGTCCATTTTGAGTCATGCTAACGACGATAAACCAGAACCTCCTCTATTCTACCCAAAATCCCATCATAGACCTAGAAAATCTACAAAATTTAGTCTCCTGCACTAATGGGTGTGATCAACAAGTAGGACCGAATCTCTTCATTCTTCGCTAAATGCAGTCTAAAATTTAGCTCCTAATAAACAGAACCATAGCAGTTCCTGCAAGAAACAGACTTATTAGTGCTTTTTAAAAACCGGAAAATCCTATTTAACAGATATTTCAGTTCGGCGTTCCACAAATTGTAGTGGATGCAACTAGTCTTGGCTAGTTTGCATTATATGACACTGTTAATCCGTTCAGATGAACAAAATTAATGAGAACTGGAAGAGTTTCTTATCAAATTATTATTAAATTTTTTGTTTAGTACTCCGTACTGTGGTCGGTTTTGTGACGAAACGAATTGGCAGAGTGAAAATTCACGTCGACTTTACGGTACAATGGTGATGCTTCTGCAGGTGTGGTAGCGATTCGATCAACATTTCAATCAACATTCCTTGTTTAAAACTGACCAATCTACACTACGATCTTAAATTATCCTCAGTCTCGGATAGTACATTGTCAAAAAATTAGATCTGACATTAGTGAAAGCATAGTGAACAGAGTGTTGACATTACTTCTTCTAAGGTGGGGGTGTATGCAAGCTTTGTATGTCCGAAAATTCAACATGGCAGCCCACCCCATCACTAATGTTAGGCAGCTTTCCGATATGACAGCACCGCTTTTCTGAACGTCTCCTTTCAACGATTTTGCCTTGATGCTAAGTTTTTTATAAAGATCCGATTACCATTTCCATTCAAAACCGATTCAAACGGAACTTGTGCATCATGAGCAACAGCTAAGATTGCTAAAATTGCGACGACTTTTAACTTTTCCTATGATTCAAGACTGGTTAATGTGAGCTTCATTACCGAATGTTCAGCGTTTCAGTTCGTTATTCCGATGGCGATCATTACTTATTGTTATTTCCGTATCCTACGGAAAGTCTCACAGGATATGATCATCCAAAATGTACAGTTCTCAGCGTCACTGTCTAAGAAACAGCGAGTGGATGCCATTAGTCGAAAGAAGAAAGTAAGTAGTACTGTTTATCTTTCTTCTGTGGCCATTTTCATAACTATAACTGGTGAACTACTAAAATTATAACAGCCACTTTTACTGCACTACAAATCCATGGCGCTGTCATCAGTGGCATTTAATAGTGACAAATCACTTAATACTTGGATGGAGTGGTAGCGTCATAGATCACAGTACATTTCTGTTAAACCGCTGCTTTAGTGGCTCGGCAAGCTTATTTCCTCTTCTCCTAAACTTCCAAAATAGCAATGCCAGGACGTCTTAAGTCGCATCTGACCTGTCCATCGATAAGGTCCATGGACCGAATTAAAGTTTGGCATTAGCGGCTATCTTTTTTCCAAGATGAGAACGTTTTTGGACCTCGGTTTAGTTTTACCGGAACACCCTGGTGTGGATAAAGCCTCCGCTGTGAACCACAGCTCGAATGACGAAGCAACGTTTGTCTTGATACGGTTGCTATTCACTAAAGGCCATGGCCTGTTAAATTAGTGGAAGCGTGATGATGATAGCCTACCACTTGGCATTTTAAACAGATTCAATTGCTACTTTTACTTAGAACTTCCAAGGTAAACTCACAAAACTGAAAATATTTCCAGGCGCCTTTGCAGCAGTAAAATAGGATAATATACGCAGTTCTTAAGGTAAACTACATCCTCATCGGTATGGTGGCAACGTTCATCTGTTGTTGGCTCCCACTAACGGCCGTGAATTTAGTAAAAGATTATAGTGAGTTGTTTTTATTGCTTTCCTTGCCTAAAAACTATAGCCTTTATCACAATTCTTAATTAATCACTCACCTATTCACGAAAATCACTGCTATCGTAAAAAGGGATCGAGTTACAAACTGACTAGCCTGTGTTCGATCAAAAAGTGCCAGCGACTGTCTGTGATGAATACCGGAACAGCCTTTTACCTTTCTCTCTCCCACCCTCCCTCTCTCTCTCTCTCTTTCTCTCTCTCTCTCTCTCGCTCTCTCTCAGTATTCCAATGAAAACCGCGCCCAATGAACACTCGATACATCAATTGAACTGAGTACAAGAGATCCTCAGTAAGAACCCAGAATGACAAATGAACCTGGTCACATCTATTGATGGGGTTTTTAAGAAAACAAAATGAAGAAATGCTGGAATCCTCCCAGTATGTAAAATTTTTCACATCTACGATGCGGATTCCAGTACTCCTTCAATTTGGTATGTTTCATCGCATGCATCGCACAGGTAGATCTTCGAACCTTTTACATGTGGATTCGGCAGCTTCTTGAGCATTGTCACCATCTTTATGAATGCTGCTGAATGCCGGTTGAGTCACTTCTCTCTAGAGTCGTGCGATAACCTCGCTAAAGCTGTTCCACTTGGACTGTAGGTAGTGGAATACAAATCTGGCACCACTTATCCAACTCTGCAGAGATGAGAGGCTTAGTGAGAAGGAGGCTGGGTAGAACGAAAACCGTGCTGGCGATAAATGGTACGACTACCATTGCGTTAAATATGTATATTTCCAGCCACTTCTAACCACTGTTTTACATTTTCCCCTGCTAAATTACCATTTATTTAATGAAAAAATCCTAGGAAGAATCATAAATCGTTCAATCAAAATCGCTTTTACTCATGCCTTCGTTGCACTGTCGTTTTCGCGCACAGTTCTTCACTAATCTGTTAATTGCTCACTTACTCAACCATCGCCTCAACACGACCCTTTAAAATGAGTAATCAAAAACGACATCGTGCATTAAGCGACGTTTTTTAGATGACGCATTACACAGGAAAGTAAAAAAAATCAGTAGTTGAACTGAAATTAGAGAGTAAAAAGATTCAAAATTCCTAAAAGCTTAAGAATTCCATGGTTTGAAAAAATTGCACAATTGTTACAGAGATCGAACCAGACTTTCTCCGAGCACAACCGTTCCTCTGGCCCCTTGTTGCTCATATCATCGCTATGTCGTTGGTGGTATGGAATCCAGTGCTATTCTTCTGGTTGACAAGAAAACAAAAACGTTCCGGTCTCAATAAATTTATGAATTCGTCTGAGGTTAGCCGTCATCTTCGTTTACTCCTTAAGGTGAACTATTTATGGAAAGCAGTTATTTTAGAGGTGTTACTACAAAACTTCAGTTTTTATTGGCTATTTAATATGCCGTGAAAATTTACTTGTGGAAGAGTCACAAATTTGTATGTTCTCGTTAACATACTCATTCCTATACACATATATGTACACATATATATATACATATATATGAGTGGTGGATAGTACAGCGGTAGTGATGTTCATCATTACGAGCACGGTGATAAGTCGATTCTGCTGCGGGTCAACCAATCCTCTCACCTCCCCTGGGTCGGGAAAATTGGTACCACACTTGTCTGAGAAAAAATCACTCTCTGCAATCCGATTGGAAACTCTCCAGCCTGGCTATCTCAGGACATCAAGGAGGATTGCTCGACCAGCACCCAAGAGGAAATTAAAATCTTCAAGCAGCAACCGAAACCACACGTAAAGACTTGGAAGATCTTCGGGGACAATTGATGGGAGGAAAGGAATCGAATGTGAGAAATGCTGCGATCCGCACGGTAGATGTGATGACGGATAATATAAAATAAAATAAAATAAAAAATAAATAGATATTAAGGAGTGGCATATAAACAAATAAACTTACTCTTTCTATAGTATCTCTATTCCACACTTCAACGGCAGATGGTCGTAAAAACACTTGTGAATTAGTTACAAAGCTAAAGCATTTCAAAATTGTTTACTTTCTAAACTCTTAAGATAGCGCATTCGTAGAAATCCTTTGAAAAATTGATTTCACGTTTTTCAGGCTCTTTTCCCACTTTTTAGCAAGTCTCTTTTTCATATAATGCCCAGCTAAGAAATCTAATCAAATTTCAACTCCGTACTTTTACGTTTGCTTTAGTCCGTAAACAACCTCTGGAATAAATAAACTTAACAAAATGCGTCGTTTTCTTGTTCAGCAATCGAGTGGTTGTTAAACAGCATACATTTACTTTCATAGAAAAACACAATGCAATACAACACTAGCTGACGTTTCGGCACAATCGCCTTTCTCAGAGCCTGGAAGGGTACACTAATACGCAACTCACTAGGTCAATCGCTTCAACAGGACAAGCAGAAGGATGAAAAACTGAACGATAATTACAAGATCTACGGTTTCTCGAAAAACCCACCGCTTTTTTCACCTGTCCTCCACCGAGGAAGAACGGCCGCTCAAAGTCGCATATGGTTGATGACTGCACCATCCCACACCAGAAACTGATGTGAACATACGGGACCAGGTCGCTTGTGATCCCTGGGCATTCCTCCTTGTTATTCATTGTGGCTTTTTTGGCATTTATCCAAAAAGCCTCAAAAAGTTTGCGCATTGGTGGTTTAGGATCCTGTGCGAGGATAGCGACTTTTACTTCAAAATCGTCTCCGTTATGCTTTTGTATCCTATGCGTGCCTAGTGGGGTACTTTGTCTCAGTTTCCGTTTGCCATCTAGGTAGTCTTTTATACGGATACACAAAGGTTTGCTAGGCTCGACAATATATTCAACTCCGCAGTTATTACAAGGGATCAGGTATATCGTACCTGAACTCATGGAAACACCGTCCTTGCCGTAATGGCAAATTACGCACTTTGTTGTTTCACATAGGCGGTCATACAGGCGCCTGCGAACTAACCGACGACGTAGAGTAGCCGGTGGTATTTCGCTACCGATTCCTCTAGACCTGCCCTTCTTAAGCATCGTTTTATAGCTACGCTTACTTCATCGCTTATAAAAGGCACTATAAACGGGATTTTCTTTTGGCCAAGTGTTTCGCGTGGGCGCATCGTTCTCCTTGCAAACTTATCTCGTGGGGTTACTATTGGAGGTGGCTATTTGCGGAGCCAAGTCGCGCGATTCTCCCTTTAGTTCGTTGGTTGTGCACACAGAGGTGGCTGTCCGAAACATGTTTCTCACAAGCCCTTCTTTGTGTGTGAAGGGTGGGAAGAAAGGAAATGAACCAGGATGTTTTTGTTGCTTGGTTTTCGGTACAATATCGTCGTGTAACCGTTACTTCATAGGTTTATTTGAACGTTTAAAAACGGAAGCTAGTTTTTTCTCGGCTTCCCCCGGGTGAACTTTATGTACTCGGACTGCTCGTTCAATAATTCAAAGCATTTGTTCATCTCCTTCTGCGTAGAGAAGACGACAAAACAGTCATCTACATATCTGCAGTAGAGTAGTGGCCGGAGATCGAGAACAGGGGCTTCTATCTTAGACATAAACACAATGGCCAGGCTTGGTGCCAATCGCTGTCCCGTTGCCAACCCCCTTATTTGCGCGAAATATTTCCCAGACTATTTGAAAATCGAGCAGTTTAGGCACTCCTTTAAGAGGACCATTAGCTGCTGGGTGGACAAGACATGCATATTTATTTTTCTTTCATGTTCAACAAGAAGTTCGAAGATGGCTTGCATTGCGGAGTCATTCGATACGTTGGTGTACAGCGTGGAAACGTCGAATGACTCCGTTAAGTACGCGTTGTTAGGAGACGCGTCACGTAGACGTTCTAAGAATATTTGGGTGTTCGTGAGGTGAAGTTACCAAACATTTAGTTCGGTTAGGTCGACATCAAAGCGGTGCGTTCCAAAGCGTTTTGAAAGCTTATTCATCATTCATGGGTTTCGCTCTTTATGAAAGAAAAAAAAGGATAAATAGCGAAAAACAGTTATGCAGCTCAAAACCAGTTGATACCCTTAAAAAGTCAATATAATGATTTTCTATCGTTACAGAGAGGGTTAATTCAAACAGAGATGAATAGTATTTGTGTAGTATCATTCTTTTTTCTTTGCACATTTCGCATTTTTCCTTGTAGCCGTTTATTCGTAAACAGTGATGATATTCGTTTGTTCAAGCATGACGGCAAAAAACATTCACACCAATCGTTTTGTGACCAGGAATTCCTCATACACCGTTGCAGCCATCCGCACTTTGTGTTGGATAGCTTTTCAACATGAGCATACTGAAGTCGTAGCTACCGTAGTCTCATACTCCTATCGCCAACGTGCAGTTGCACAGTTGCGCTGAGATGACTTTCACTAATAGGCTATTAAATATTAGGCGAAAACTGAATCCCTTGTAATTGATTCGATTTAAGGTGGTTGCATCACTTGCGAATCATTTTCGCCTTAGCATACGACGCATATCCGGACGTCACGGCCGTAAATTGGAACAGTGAGTTTAATATTTGTTCAAGCCTATATTTCATCCCGAATCGGTCAATAACCATAATCATGCTGAGACATTTGCAAAACTTCGGACCGCAAAGGTCTGCGGTGGGAAACGAACACGTTATTACATTTTATGGGGCTTACGTGTTCACCACTACACCATGCGAGTCTTCCATTTTGCCTTGCTCTGAGTTAGTTTTCTACCTAACAGTGCCGTCAGTAACCACGCGTCAGCGGGACTGATGTGACGAGCACAAATTAACATTGAACAAGGTTAAGCTGAGGCTCTACTCGAAATCACAACATAAACTTTTTTATTTACTGCCTACTACGATTTTCCGCGGTATGGTGTAATGTGAAATGCAACCATAATGATGGAGAGATGTTTAAAACTCCGGACCAATTAACATCCCGCCGTGAAAAAATGTTGTAAGCAGTAAGTAAAAAAAATTACTAATCAATAATCTATGCCTTTATGCCCTTCAAATGGTATGGTGATGCGATTATTGCACAGCTTTAATTAGAATTCTACTCATACTTCAATTGGAGTAAAGAAGAAATCAGTAGTTGTGGAATTAAGACCGTCAGCTTATACAGATTTAAACGAAAAAACGAACTCATTTGAAATCGAGCATCACAGATGGAAAACGTAAAATTTATTTATAGATGAATTTTTCTAATATAATACTATTTTGTAGACAACCCACCATCACATATTCTGCCGATGCCACCCCTTCTTTTATTCGATGTCCTTCATCGCATCCATTATAATGGAAATCTTTGCATTTGCACGTCGATTCGGCTGCTCGTTGAGGATCTTTCCTTCTCTATCACTGTCTTTGCACGTTGCCGAGTTGGTTACTGTTGAAATCTCGCGATATCGTTGCTAAGGGCTTCTCACGTCTTCATCACTTGTAATAGCCGGCATTCGTGAATAGGATAGAGCTTTCTTCAAACAGCTCTAATACAAATTTGCCGACCCCGGAGGTTTCGTTAGCCAAAGACGATATTAAACTAGCGACCATGCGCGTATTTTTTTTGCACGACCGGTCTTTCATATTGTGGGCACCAGCAATTCTTGTATTCCATTTGTTTCCTCCCATCTATCATCCACGAATGGCTTCCAATAATCGTCTTCTTCATGAAGTCTTCGATTGCTGGTCGAGTCGATCCTGCTCGGAGTGCCGGAATAGCCAGGCTATAGCATTCCCACTTCGGGTACAGAACACGAGTTTTTCCAACATAACTCTGGTGCCAAACTACGGATCTTAGAGGGATGAGATTCTTGTTGGGTCCAGCGCCGGGTCGAAACAAAACTTTGAAGGATTATGAACTAATATAAATGATTTAGAACCCACACCATCCATCCGCTTTCGATTCCATAGCGATCGTCTTTTATTAATGTGGTCTGTTCTGCATATAGAGACGTTCCCATATATCTCTTAAGAAAGCGTACTGCACTCGAAACACAGCAAGCTCCCATAGCAGAAAATGCTTCTGTCCATCTTATACGTGGTTTATTTAGAATCTACACTCTCTTGCCCTCTGCTTTTCTCTCTTTTTCTTCTTTCTTTAATGCAGTCGACACTTCTTGATACATGATAACTTTGCACATCATCTATATTTTACTTCGGTTAGATACATGTCACCAAGTATCCAAAAGGTGAAATACACTTTAAAGTTTATCACTGAGGTTTGACTCAATCTTGCATTCGTCCGCTACTTCTCACGTGGTGTCGTACAAGCACCCAGCTGGCGAAATTCAAGGCCTTCGACATGGTTATGGAATTACCTCACGTCTCAGATGTACACCTAACCTTAAGAGAACTCTTGTTTAAGAACTTAATCTGCTTTATGCCAATAATCCTCATTAGCACTGTTCATTTTTCGTGTCATTCACTACTTTCTCAGAACATTTTCATTAAGTAGCAGTTGAGTGTGAACTTTCCCATTAGAGAAAATCCGTACATAGAATCTTTGGTTCAGCGTAAATCTGTGATCCTTCAACGTTGAACGATGGTCTACGATCTCGCTGTGAAACGATATTTCCGGTTACAGAGACAAGAGTCTGCAGCAGTGCTGCTGAAGTCTTTTCTTAGGCAACTCAAAATGATGAAGAATAGAGTAGAAAGGATTACTAGTGGATAAATAAAAATTATTGGGTATTAAGGCGCTTGTAACACTGTGGTTAGAGCTGTTATGCAATACAAACTTGGCCGTTGGTTCAACATCACGCCGACGACTAACCAAGCTCTCCATCCTCTACCCAGGGTGTGAAAATTAGCACTAAAGTTATCTGGGAGGATAGCAGCACTGACTTTTTACACTGGTAGTCCACAGAAAGTCACTGTATTTACATACATATATACATATATATATATATGTATATATATATATATATTCATTTTCACGGTTTAAATAAGCATTCAACCAGCCTTGCGATGTTACGAGTGGAATACCCAAGAGATTGCTAAACGTCGACCGCTTTGTCCTTTATCATATAGAATAATATAGAAAACAAAATGCAATGAGTTCTAATCCTTTATGATAGACCTCCGCGACATGTGATGGTGGACCAAAAGTGTCAGTCACACAGAAAGAATGCACTCGTCGAAAGTTCATCAACATGTCGATATGACAACGAGCAACGACAT